GAAAATAATGCTTTCAGGCGCCGTGGCCTAGGTTTCTCACTGCGCGGGAATTCAAATCCTCGTCCCCCGGCGGCACCTTTTTTGAATTTTTTTCATTTTCAACGGCGTTTTTCGGGGATTTCGGATTTCTTTTAAATTTTTTTGCAATAATATTAGGAAAATAGATAACTTTTAAAACATTTTAATGCAATAAAAATTTTTGGTCGGAGTCCCCCTTTAAAATAAAACATGTTTGTCTCTCTAAAAAAATTATACGATTTTAGATGATTTATAATTTTCGCCTACATATATTTTGAAGACATTTTTCTTTTGATTAATTATTTCAATTTGAAAGAGGGAAGAACTTTGAAAATTCAACTTTTGAGAAATAAATGTTTTTGCCGTTTCATTGGACTTATTTTCCGGGTTCTACATGAATTATTCAATTTATACCAAATACACCATTTTAAATGTTGTCAAATCAAATGAACATTAGAGTCTGAATGAAAAATTAGATTCCGGAAATTTTCGAGAAATTTATTTACATGTTCCTCACATTTAAAAGTGGAAGGGAAAGAAAAAAAATTGCGAAACGGTCTAATAAAACGCTCCTTAACTTTTAGCTTTAAGACAATTTATCTCGATTCCTGTAACAGATATTGAAAAATGGTTTACTGACAAAATAATATTGGCATCAAGATAAACATATTGTCCATTGACCACTTTTTGATATCTTTCGCAGAAAACGAGATCTATGGGTTCAAAGTTGGCGATTTGGGAGAGGGCATTCTATTACGGTAATTCGGTTGCGGGTGGGGAATTTCTAAAAAAAAATAGATTATGAGACTGTCTGAATTTTTCGAAGTCTCTGGAAATTTTGGTTTTCTATTCTTTGTTTGTATTATGTGTAAATTGGCTACACAAATCAACAATCGAAGAATTTCAAAAAAATCTTGAATTAGTGAACTTTTTGAAACTGAAAAAAGTCTAAAAGTTCTCAAACTTTTTCTTCAGACTTCGACTATTTTTCTAGACGTTTCCTTCCCTTCTGACGCGCTGTGCATATATTGTAGTCTTAACGAAAAATAAAAAACTTTCTGAACAAAATTCAGAAAAAAATAAACAATACAATTTCAAACAAAGACCACTCAAACTTTCAACATTTTCCTAGAATCTGATTTTGGTACTGAAATAGGCGTGGGGGGAAAACTAGGAAATCAACACCGTTTTCTTTTCTATAGAATATACAGTACTCCATAGGTTTAGCCTCGGAAACGCTCAAAAATTGAAAAATCAGATTTTTTTTTGAAAATTTCTTAATTTTTTCGTTAAGACTACAACATATGTGAAGTGAGTCAGAAGGGAAAGAAACGTATAGGAAAATAGTTGGGTGCGAAAATCAAAGTTTGAGAACATTTAGTTTTTTTTTCAGTTTCAAATAGTTTACTAATACGAGATTTTTTGAAACTCCTCGTTTTGTGACCTTGACAGTAGGTTTTCCATGACGGGCGGGTATCGAACGGGTAGCTGCTACCTGCCCGTACCCGTACCCGCCAGCTACCCGCCCGCTTGCTACACGGAACTTTTTGTGTTTGCAGACAATGCGCACAACCTGCCGACACTTCGATTAACTTTTTTAAAGATGATTTTTTGACAGTTTTTGTCGCTTATTGGTGTAGATAATAGTTTCTAAAATTAATATAAAAATAATTCAGGTATAAAAATTCACCAATCAGTAAAAATGGACAAATTTGTTTCGGAAAGAAACCGAAAATGCGCGCGAATTGTCGGTAAGTGGGGCGCATTGTTTGCAAACACAAAAAGTTTCCGGGTAGCAAGCGGGTACGGGTACGGGCGGGTACGGGTAGCTGCGGGTACGGGTGGGTATATCGCTACCCGCATGGAAACCCTACTTGACAGTCAAAATAGCCGATTTACACAGATCATAAAAAGAAAGAACACAAAACCCGCTGCAAAATTTCCAGAGACTTCAAAAAATTCAGACAGTGTCGTGTGCTCCTTTTTGTGTGATGTCTAGTGTCACAGAACAGGAAAATATATATTTTTCAACTTACAGTAACCCATAAGCTTTATAGCTTATAAGCACTTTTAAAGCTATAATTACACATCATCAAAAGGTTCAAAAAATCAAATTTTTGGTATTTCAGATAATTCATTAAACATGAAACATTTATGAAATCATGTTTTCACAGGAAAGTAATACTGAAATTTTTGAAAAAAGGACAAATTATCACCTACAATTAAAGCTAGAGAAAACAATATTTGAAATCTCACATCATTTGATATTTTTTAAAATTTCCAAAATTTTTTGATTATAATGAAAATGTGCAGTGGAGTGGAAGTTGGAGTTTCTAGTTGTGGTGAATCACACAAAAAAAATATTTAAAAATTTCCTCATTAGCAGTTCAATAAACCAAATATGAGCAATCCAAAAAAATCTAGAAATTCGATCAGAAACCAAAAATAATTTAAAATCAGCAGGCAATTTTTAGCTATTGACGTCAAAAGAAAATCTGAAATCTTTTCAGCAATTCCAATAATGTATGCAATCATTTATGTACAAGTAATATACATGTCTTGGTATGAAGCAGCATCAGACGAACTCAAACAAAAAGTCAAATATGAAAGTGAGACGGTCCTACAGTATACCAAAACTTTCCCTTTTTCAGATTTTAAAAGAAAACCATACAGAGCGGAACCTGGAAAACATGTAATATCAAATTCGTTCTGTGCAATTTGTCAATGTAAAACACAAACAGAGACAAAGCATTGCAAACGATGCAACTTTTGTATTGATGAATTCGATCATCATTGTGTTTGGCTCAATAATTGTATAGGAGGAAAAAATTACAAGTAAGTATTACAAAAAAAACTTCAAAAAAGAATTGCATCGACCGGGAATCGAACCCGGGCCGCCCGCGTGGCAGGCGAGCATTCTACCACTGAACCACCGATGCGACAAATTCTTTCGCCTCTCTTGTCGTATATAAAACAATTGTTTGCAGGCCATTTGTCGTGTTGGTTAGCTGCGTCAATGTGTTTTCCATTTATGCATGGGTACTGGTCTGGTACGTTTTCATCAGATGGATAGCGTTTGATGAAGTTACTTTTTTGAAAACTATGGAAGATAAAGGTAAAAGAAAAATGAATTAGGAATTCTTTTAAAACCTTGAACAAATCCAGCAGATTGGCGGAAAGTTCTATGGGTGTTTTCAATGATTCTGTGCATTATAGTGTATGGAGTTCTAACGATGACAACATGTCATTTGCTCCATTTTCATTTCCGTTTATGTAAGTTAATGCGCTCCACCGTACTTCTAAGCTGAAATCTTGTGATTTTTCAGTTCAAGTTGGTCAAACCACATATCGGTATATGACGAATCGAAAGCGAGGAGCAAGGGTAAGTGATTTTAGAGTTGTTGCAAATTGCAAAAATTACTGTTACAAAAAGTTTATAATTGTTGTCACATTTAGCATAAAACAATTTCAATGGGAAGTCGTCGTCTGTGAATATCCCTGTTCTTTAGAAATTGATGATTAGTAAAATTTGCAAAACGTTCGTTTGAGCGTCAATAAGATTCATTAGTTTTAGAAAAACTTGCAATTGATAAAAAGTTCCAAAAAACTTCAAGAATAAACAGTTTTTTTTTCGAAAAAGTAGACCGTAAACCCTGTAACACACTGACAAGTTTGAGCTCAATTATCTCAATTCCTATGCAAGATATCAAAAATGTATTAACTAATAAATTGTTAGTTTTATTATGATAAACAATTTTTCAGTTGACAACTTCTTTATATCTTTCAGAGGAACCGAGAAAAACTGGATCAAAGCTAAGAGATAGTAAAAGAAGGGCCCCCACACTGTCAACTTTGAGCTCAATAATCGAAATTCCTGTGAAAACTATAAAAAAACTGTCAACGGATAAAATTTTTGTGATATTATGATAAACAATTCTTCAGTTGACAACTTTTTTATATCTTCGACAGGAACCGAGATAAATAGGATCGAAGCTAAAAGTTAGTGAGGGCTCTTGTATTACAGGTTTTGTGCTAGATAGGTTTTTTTTTCTGAAAATTTTAAAGTAAAACGCATTTTTAGCCATTCTCCCGAATTAGATAAATTCATTGATAGATTGTGTAACGTTTTGAAAAAGTCGAAAATTAGTAAAAAATGGTACATAATTTTTCTGTTTCACCATTTACTGAAGTTTAGAGAACCTGGTTAAAAATTTCGATTAGACTTTCCCTAGAATCTCAAAATTATAAAGTAAAACTGTCGCGGTTAGGGATTGAGTTGTGATGAGCATACACTCCTAGCGAACCGTGACTGCTATGCAACCCTTGGCTCCTTTTGTTGAGATGGTAGTTTACAGTGGATTGGTTCACAACGTGTTTATTGACACTAGCTGGGCAACAGAGATCCCAGAAGGATACAGTAGAAGTTAGTGAATAAGGGGGAGCGAAGGAAGGAGCGACCTCTCTACACGAATGCAGAAGGGACTACTGACTGGAATATGATGACAATAGATCAGTGATAAAGGAAGTTAGAGACGCAGAGACAAGGAAGGGAGGGAGTATAGAGTTATGAGAGAGTGTGTCTGCTCCTGCTTGGCGGTTGGTGAGTCTCCTTTGCCGCTGGTCCTGTAGAACATTGTGCGATGGAGCGCTCCTTCTGTGGGTGCGAGAGAGCACGTGATGTTGAGAGACGCAGACTGCTTGGCACGTCTGATGGGGAAGTTGTTACTGTAGTGCCAATGGTGATGTTGTAGCTTCATGTGAACCTTGTTAGTGATTGAATGATGCGAAACAAAAACTGAAATTTTGCTGTCCTTGAGAATTCGATCAATTATTCACTGGCTTGTACAAAACAGCTGGAAAAAAGCAACAGAAAATTCCTTTAAAATTTTTTAATTTATACCATTGTACCCTAATACTGTTTAAACATCGAAGCTACTGTATCGAAGTTTTTGAATCTTTCCCATTCTTAAAGGGGGACTCCGACCAGAAATGTTTATTGCATTAAAATGTGTTAAAATTTATCTATTTTTCAAATATTATTGCGAAAAAATTCAAAGAAAATCCGAAATCCCCGAAAAACGGCGTTGAAAAGGAAGAAAATTCAAAAAAAGGTGCCGCCGGGGGACGAGGATTTTCAGTGAGAAACCTAGGCCACGGCACCTGACAGCCTTTTTTTCAAGTAGCCGACAGTGGTTTTTTACGTTTTTTACCTGCCGGACATGAAATTGAAAAAAATCCGGAAAATTTGCCACATAGGAAAGGCGCCCGCTGCCGTGGCCTAGGTTTCTCACTGAAAATCCTCGTCCCCCGGCGGCACCTTTTTTTTTTGAATTTTCTTCCTTTTCAACGGCGTTTTTTGGGAATTTCGGATTTTTTTTTGAATTTTTTCGCAATAATATTCGGAAAATAGATAAAGTTCGCGCATCAAGCGGCGAGGGTAATTGGCGGTTGGGGTCCCCCCTTTAAACTGATTATCCTTACATGTAGATGAAGTTTTCAATGTTGGAGAAGTAGGTATCACCTTGCAACCAAATATGTTATCTTCAGAATTTTTGAATTGATCAAAACTTCCCGTTTCAAAATGTTTATTAATTTAAAGTTTTTCCTAGTATTCAGTTCACCGGCAACAAATCCATCCAAAAAATAGTCAACAACAATCGTATTCCAGATTGGCTTAATTTGCATACTGGTGGTACAATCTATAACAATTCCAGAATTAAAAATTAGGATTCAAATCTAGGAATATCGTCAAATCTAGAAATATATCAGTTGTCAAAATCAACATAATCCATATTCCAGGTCGGTGTTTCTGCAGTATCTAACACCCACTCCCAAACTCATCGTCCAGACAATCCAGTTGAAGAAGATGAACCAGGACAAAACGATGAGCAACCTCATCCAACAACTCCAAGGAACTCTCGTGTTAGTGGTGGGAGCCCTAACCATGTTGTAGTGACTATTGAGCCCCCTACTCCAACTCCAAATGGATCCACAGTGAGCTCAGCGAGCTACAGTAATCCGGCATATGTGTCTATGGAGGCACCTCACTGATGTCTTTCTTTGTTAAATTTATCTGTACATTTTGAAAATTTTAATTTCTTATTCATTTTCCTTTTCCCATTTCTTTTACTTGTTCCTCTTATCACTTAATTTTACCCCGACGGGTCCCATTTTACCTCTCAATTCAACACCGAGTAGAAACCCTTTCTGTGATAAACGAATAAACATTTTCTGACGACACAACAATCAATTATATGACCCTTATCACCCGGATATCAGTAAAAAGGAAATAGTATAAAATCTAGAGAGACGTAGAGATAAAGGTCATAGTAGTGTAACAGTGAGACGCGAGAAAGTTGCGCGGGGCGTCGTCGGAGAAAAAAAAGAGAAAGGATAAAAATAGTGCGGATTGATGAGAGAGAGTGACAGAGAAGCAGACAAAACCCCACACAGGAGAGAGAGAGAGACTTTTGTTCCCGCAATACTCTCGGTTTCCCGTGTGAGTTGAGGCCTCACCGGCTTGTCATCTCAACTCACAGACGAGCCACTACTATGATCGAAAAGGTGCTAGTTGTGGTTTTATTGGTCAGCGGGCTCTGTCTCGATGCAGTAGATGCGCAGGGTGAGTTACAGTAGTCCAATTAGACTTTTTTTTAATTTGCAACCTCAGTTTTACAAAAAAATGATTCTGACCATGTATGGCTAAATGCTACTTTTAAAGTTAATGGTAACATATGCAAATTTGTCTACAACCTTGTGAAACAGAAGCTAAAATTCCGTTTATTTTTACTTTTTTAGTGTGCAAAATTCGTTGGATAGAGATCCAAGTCAATAGTGAGGATATGATGATTCAAATGCTAACACTTCCCTGAAACAGTAAATATGAAAAATGTTTAAACTTTACGATTTTTCAATTCTAAGTCAATTACATATCACTCTTCACAACTTTCTTGCAAAAAAAAAACTTGTTTCTATCTTCAGTTATATAATTAACAATTCTTTTCTTTACAATTATCATTATATAAAAAAAATTAGGCAGAAGCTTCTGAAAAATTTCTGAACTAACTTTTAACAAAATGTTTTTCATAGTCAAATTTCTGAACGCAGTTGGTTCAGAGTGAGTTACAGTATTTCTTTATTATTTTTTTATTTTGAAAGTGAAGAATTCATTTTTATTTAAAAAAATCTTGATACGATTACTGGATGTTATCGAATACAATTTTTTAAAGTTAATTTCTAAAACATTGTGAAACACCAAAAATATGTATTATATCCATCATTCAAATAGGTTAGAAGTCAATTCATTTTTACTTTTGAATTTTGTAAAAGGTTGCTTTGAAAGAGATACCAAACACTAATTGTGAAGGAGTAATATTTGAAATTCTAAAAGTTTTCTTTTTTTTTCTTTTTTTTTAGCAATTAGTTTAGTGGATTGAGATCGTGAACAACAAAAACTGAAATCAGAAAAAAAACAGTATTTTACAAAAGAGATCAAAGCTTCTGAAAATTTCTGAACTATTCTGAAACAAAATTTGCTTTTATAGTCAAATTTTTGTTCAGAAACTTGAATTTATTGGACATTCAGAATTTTTTGAAATCGCAAAGTTTTGTCTGTTTCCAGTACCTTATGAACTTTTTTATATTCAATGCACAGTATTGTCTCGTTCGTAAAGGTTTTTAACTTTAAAATTTGCAGTGTTTCTCAATCTTTAAAGATTCAACCATTCTTTTTTCCAATGTTAGTTTTCAGACAACATTCCTAAAATTTAATGTAAAATTCCGGTACAATCAATATAGGATTTTTGAGTTCCTGAAAAAAACATTTACAGTTTGAAAGTCTTTTTTAACTAGTTTTGATTATCTCGATATCCGATGCGATGTACGTAAGTACGTATGAAAATCAAAAAAAAAAAGATAATTGGCTCTCCAAAAACCTGTCGGATCCTTTTCACAGAGTTTTGAAGGGAAAACATGTCTGAAAAGTCAAACATATAGATTTTTTTCTATCGAATCCGGGAATTCGATTTTCAATTGAAACCGGTGTAGCTGGTTGTAATACACATTGGATTTACTTGATTTATGACGTGGAAAATTGATGGGTCCTCCGCTTGCTTTGTGTCTGATTTTTGGTGAATGGGAAGGAAACTTGGGAAAAGGGAAACCTTTCAATATTTGATTGGGTGAAAAGAGAAATATCAGATAGTTACAAAACACCGTGATACCTGTAATAGAAGGGCATCCTAACCTCCAACTCCGCGCCAATTTATCTCGCTTCCTGCCAAAAATTTAAAAAAAGTTGTCAACTGATAAATTTTTTATCATAATAACATATACATTTTATCAGTTGACATATTTTTAATATTTCCTTTTTTGTATATAATTTGTTAAACAAGATCTTTATTCTTTATTCTTTTTGGTTATTTGACTAATAGAGGGTGCATTGAAAAACATTTAAAACTTGGAAACTTAAGAAAAATTTGAAACCGAATTTTTTTGGATTTTTCTCCGGACAGGTGTCCATCTGCTCATCAATCCTTCCCAGGTGATCCTTAACCATTGATTTTTTAAACTTCTTACCCTAGTGTAGAAACTTCTAGAATCTCTCTTCCTTCTCCATCAACTTTCTAACAAACTCATCTATTTTTTTTTCCAACCAACTTGCATGCGGTGTCTCTCGATCGCTTCACCGCATAAACTGAACGAGAAATCATCCATCATTCATCTCTCACTCTCTGCGTCTCTTCATCTCACACACTCTCTCGCTATCATCTTTCTTCTCCCCACCCATCATCATTTTTTCATCGGAATTTCCGTGTTCCGAAATGATGATAGAGGGTTTAAAATAGAAAAGATAGAAGATAAAAATATGAAAAAAAGAGAAGAAATATTTTATTTTGAATCAATATAGAATTGATTTCATGCTCACGGGGGAAAAAGCATACTTGCAAAATCAGGACACTCTTATCTTGAAAATTTTTTCTTGTCAGAAAAATCGTCCATTTTTTTTCTGTTGACCCCAAAAAAATTTATGAAAAGACAGAAAACCTTTTTCCGAAAATCCGGGCCGGGCCTTGGAAATTTTGAAAAAAGCCCGGCCCGGCCCGTTGCAAGTATGAAAAAAAGTATAAGAGGGGATTATTCACAGATAACAATTTTTCGCCTTTCTAGCTCCAGGACTGAAAATGAATCAAAAAGCTTAGAATATTTCCGGAATGAAACAGAATTTTTTTTGCAGGATCATGTCGTCAGGAATCATACGAAATGACGTGTCGGGGGAAGAACTCACTTCATGAATTGAAACCGGTTAGTTTTAATTGGCTGATTAAAGTTTTTCTGGGTTTTCAAAAATGTTAATTACTGTAAAACCTGCAATAGAGGGGCCCCATACTGTCAATTTTGATCAAAATTTTCATGATTCCTATGCAACATATTGAAATTGTTTCAACTGATGAAATCTTTGGATTGTGGTAAAAAATTTATCAGTCGACAGCTTTTTCATATCTTTGACAGGAACCGAAATAAATTGGCTCAAAGTTGAAAGTTAGGGTCCCTTCTATTACAGGTTGTACGATATTTGGGTTTTTTAGACTGGAATATTTAACGAATTCTTAAACTTTAAAAGAACACTGGAAGTTTTAAAGATTTTTCAAACGGGCTTTGTGGATTTTCACCGTTTCAGTCAATTAATAACAGTTTAAAAAATGTCACTTTTAATCCACACAGTGTTACAAAAAATTTCTGAAATTTCTCTATTTTCAGGGTAAAACCTATTCAAATATCGACACATTACATATCCATCAAGCGGAACTCGATTTAACAGATGATCTCCTCCCAAATGGTAAGTTTTAGTTTTCAATTATAATTCTCTTTTCGAAAAATTTCAGATATCACCTTTTCCGCATTGACTCTTCTCAACGCTACTGACAATCATCTGACAAGAATCGGAAGACGCGGGTTCGATAAAATTCGGAACGTCCAATTTTTGTATTTGTCGAACAATCAGATCTCACATGCTCAACCGGATCCATTCCAGGCACTAGAAAAGTGAGGATTTCGTGTTTTTAATAAACGAAAGAAATCTATTTGATTCACAGAGTATCAAAAATATATCATCATTATCATTTCATTACTAATAACATTCACCAAATTCCGTATGTAAGGATGTATGTCGCGTGACTGTTAACCCATTCAAAGTTAACCGATTGAGCTGAAACCTGGACAGGCGAATCAGAAATTTTTATTAGTTTAGGCCCGCACTTTTCTATTCTCGAAGTTTCGATTTTGAAGTCTTCTGGAGATGTCCCTTGGTTTCACTACAGTAAAGCGTGGTGGGCAGAGAGGACGATGGGAGAGAGCGAGAGAGAAAGGGGGAAGAAATCCGACACACGTGTACGCCATTTCTCCCATCCTCCCTGTAGTGACCGTGTGGTGCGGTAGTTAGCGCACTACATTTTTGCCCGCGCGGTGCGGGTTCGAGTCCGACCTGTGGAAGTTCTTTTTTTGGTTTTCAAACAGAGCGTAGAAATGAATAAGAATCTGTCTAAATGATTCCGAACACTGTATTATACTCAGAAAATTCTTTACGAAGTTCCTGTTTTCACAATTCTGGGACTTCGATGTATCGATGTTTGGATTTTCGACGATTTAGAACTTTGGACTTTGAATCTTCTCACTATTAGTTTCTGAATTTTCGGACGTGCGAACTACCAAATCTCTAAGATTTTCAATACAGAAATTTCCGAGTATATATATTTTGTGAATTTCGAAAAACAAGGAAATCCAGAAATCCGGAAACCTAAAAGTTAGGGAATTGTAAACACGGAAAGTTCTAAATCTCCAAACCTTCACATTTTCTGCATTTCTAACTTCTCAAGTTTTCGAGTCTTCTATTTTTCAAATTTTTCAAAATTCTGAATGACTGATACTTTGGAATTCAGAAATTCCGATTTCAGAATATTAAAGGTGGGGGGACAGGAGATTTTTCGTAGGATTTTTGTAGCTAGGGTATGCATTCTACCGTGACAGTGTACAACGCTTAATGTAACTCTGCGTACAGCTGTCGTCCTCGCCTTTATGTGTGCAATCGGGCGGCCGTTTTCTCTTTGCCCGCGTGGCTCAGTCGGTAGCGGCGCCGCACCCTCAATCCTCGCCCCCACAAGTTCAACTCCTCGAGGGGGCATATTAAGACGGAATATCGAGAATATTATTTTTTTCATGTCTCCCCACCTTTAAAACATTAATTTACGTAGTTCGGAACTTCATAAATTGAATTCAAACTCAGAGATTTGATTTCCTCATTTTTGTATTTCCAGATTCTAAAATATCCGAATATCTTAATATCCGAAATGACGAAATCTGAAATAGATTCAGAATCATGAATTTTTCGGAGCTCTGAACTTCTAAATTTCCAAATTCGAATATTGAAAAAGATAGCCCGTAAAAAGTGACGGGACATCTTTATAAAATTAAGGGTACTGTAATCGGAGCCCAGGAGGTTCAGCCCCGAAGAGGCGCAAACCGACTGTTATATAAATATTTTAGGGTTTTTGGTACTTTTTGATACTTTGTGAACACACAATTCGGCATTCTATACCGAGAAATTCAAAAAAAATGTTTCAATGAAAAATTATGTAATCATGCTTGAAATGATGTGCAGTAAAGCTTTTCTCTGTGGCTTGAATCTCAGAAACCGTCCAACTTCTAGAAACTTATTGATTTTTTGAAACCCCCCCCCCCCCCACAAAAACTGAAAATTCCTATTTTCTTATTTTTTTTCTAGAAATGACCTAGAATTTTAAGTTTTGGCGGTAATTCAAAAAAAAGATTCCGAAAACCTCTAGAAGTTTCCAAAAATGTAAATAAACCATTTTCGCAAAAAGGAAGACCGAATGAAAGTTAAAATATAAAAAACCATTAATGTTGAAATCCCTTCTGAATGACTTGAACAATTCAAACATTTTCCCTGAAACATGATTTTTTTTCAGACTGGAACTCATCGAAATGGATGACGCGCTGGATGGAAATGCTGAAGACAAAGCGGACATGCTCCGAAACTTTTTCCATTCCAAAAATAGTTTCACCCATTTGTCAAAAATCGAGTTGAACAAAAATAGAATCGATGAAATTTATCCGAAAACGTTTTGTGGGGTACGAGAGTGAACTGTAAACCTGTAATAGAAGGTTCCCTAACTTTGAACCAATTTTTCTCGATTCCTGTCGAAGATATGAAAAAGTTGTCAACTGATAAATTGTTTATCATAATGTAACAAACATTTTATTAGTAGACTGATTGTTGACATCTTGCACATGAATTGAGATACAAAAGCTCAAACAGTGTGGGACTCTTCTATTACATTTTTTACGGTAGTTACAATCAGAAACAAATTTAAGGATTTCAGGTAAAAGGACTGAAAAGGCTAGAAGTATCAAACAATCGAATTCAATCATTCAATTTCGCGAGGAGTTGTTTGACAGAGCTCAAAGCGCTCATGTTGGCTGGAAACTTGATTCAGAAGGTTAATTTTTCCTGACTAAAGTGAATGGTTACAAATCTCGAGCATTTATTTATTATCATTTTAAAACTGTAAAATACTTGTGTTGAAAAAAAGAAAAACTGAAACAATTAAAATAAAAAATTTCAGATTCCTGCTGACATCTGGGACTTCCTCCCTCAATTATCCAGTCTTGATATCTCAAACAATCCTTTGAATTGTGATTGTGAAACTGTCAAACTGGTTAGAGACGATGATGTCATTTTTATAAATCAGGTAAGCCTTTCATTGGTTCCAATTAGCCTCTAATTAAACATATCAAAGCTTTCAGGCCCAAACAAAATGTGCATCACCACCAGAAGTAGAAGGTCAAAGTATTTTTGAGATCAGGAAAGATTACTGTAGCGCGACGGCTACAAAGACAACGAACAGGAATCCACGTGGCAAAGCATCATTCCTTCAGTTCTTCATCTTGTTTGTGATTGCTGTTGGAAGTGAGTTACAGTAGTTACAGTCTCTAATAGAAGGGTTCTCCTAACTTTTTACTTTGAGATCATATATCTCGGGTCCTGTAGAAGATATCAAAAATCTGTCAACTGATAAAAATTTTGTCATAATATCACCAAGATTTTATCAGTTAACCTTTTTTATAACTTTCACAGGAAATGAGATATATGTGCTCAAAGTTTGAATTCAAACTTAAGCATATCCAAAAACTCCAAATCGCTTTCAATTTCACTTTTTTTTCCAAACATTTCTAAACATCGTTCAATTGAAAAAACAACAAATACTGTTGAATCAATAAGCTTAATAAGATATTTGAAAGAAAAAAGAAGTTTAGAAATGGAAAATTTAGGAAAATAAGAGGGTAAATGGTGAAATTTAAAAAATCTAAACCTGATCGTAATTATTACTTGATTTCCTCATTATAGTCAAAAATAATCAAGATAATGCTAACATAATTGTGCTTTTGAAAACTTCAGAATAATGATTTTTTGAATATTTTCACTGTTTCGAAGCTTTATCATTGTCTTGCTGTTTCACTTTTCATTACTGTGAGTGGTCTATTGCTTGTCAGGAAAAATAAGTTTCTACTTTAAATAATTATGTTACTTCTTCCCAACGCATTTTTTTCAGTTCTATGGGCGTACAAAAAGTACCGTGAACGACTGAGCTATATGAGCACCGCACCTGTTGGCTACACAAATCTACAACACGAGCAAGCCGTCGAACCGGAATTCGTTTAGAATAAAATCCTTTTTTTAGTTGTTTTTTCATTTGTTTTTAGCATTGAATTCCTTCATTCATAATTATATACTGTCTAAACTGAAAATATTCAATTATTATTTTTCATTTCATACGGGATAACCAACTCTTTTTGTGTGAATAAATGATCTTCTCAAAGTGTCACAATTGGAGATTTCGAAGTAAATTTTCCCGCCAAAAAATAGGCGCAGGTGTTGACCAAAAAACTCGAAGAAAAAAAAATAGAAAATGTCCTTGTGGGACCGCCCATCTCAGAATAATACATCTTTTTTGTCAATTGTCCTTGGTTTAATTTTGAAAACACCAATAATTTTTAGGTATTTTCTTAAAATTTCTGTTTCAGCTTTGCTGTAATTTTAGGCTTTGAAATTTTTAGTGATAGTCCTGCACTAAGCTTTGCAAACTCAAAACATTGAAAATTTCAATTCGAAATGTGTCTAGTGACTTTTTACTTTGCAACAATTTTCCCGAACACTATTTCATTAGAAATCTCACTTCAAAGGTCATGTAAACCGATAATCTAGCGGATTGATCTTCTCCTGACTGGGTGGTATTTTATTGTCTTCCAGAGGACATTCTTTCCGGACGGAAAACAATTTATGGGAGTTACGGGAAATGTGAGATACGTCGCGAAAAAGCCAACTAGTTGAGCTCAATTATCTGGGTTCCTAGGAGAGATATCAGAAATCTGTAAACTGATAAGCATCAGTAACTTAATATCAGTAACATTTTGTCAGTTGACAAATTTTGGATAGCTTTCATAGGAAACGAGATAATTGTGCAGAAGGTGCTAGTATAGAGTGGAGCTATATCAAATCTTGTCGAGCCAGATCAAAAGAATGTTAAAATTTAAAATGTCCAAGATCTCAATGAATTATTGGACAGTTTAATTTTATTGTACAGAACAGTTGAAAGCCCAATTAGAAACAAAATATGTATAAATTTTGAACCATCTTGAAGAAAAAGATAAAAAATGTGGAAACAATTAAAAAGATGTGGAAGTTTGAAATTCTCAAATTTTTATTCCCAAATAGTTTCAAACTTAAAAAAAATACATAGAGATATCCGAATCCTTAATAAACCACGATTTTTTCCAACAATTGGAGTAGCATAACATTTTCTCTGTTTCATAAATTTGAAATAATGCCTTGTGCTCCCCAATCTATAATCCTGTTTTTTTTATTCTCAAGAATAGCTTTCCAATTCTTTTTAAATATGAAGAGACATGAAAAAAAATTTCCTCGAACCTCCGTTTACCGTATTTCCTCTATTAGAATCCCACTTAAAACGTCAATTTTGAGCTAAATTATTTCGATTTCTGTGAAAGATACCAAAATGTTGTCAACTGATAAATTTTTCATCATAAAATCACCAATATTTTATCAGTTGACAAATTTTTGATATCTCGCATAGCAATCTAGATAATTGAGCTCAAAGAAAAGGGAGTGGAATTTAACGACGAATTCTCTGTAATAGTGTTTGATAGCAATGGGAAAAACAAAAAAGGCTACTGTTTGATTTTAGGGAATTGTATAGAAACAGAAGAAAAAAATTAGAAAACAACGGAGAGGATCTGAAAGTTTATAGTTCTCAAAATGTAATTCAAATAGTTTTGTGTAAAAACAACAGGTAAGTGACATAAATATCTGAACCCATGAATATGATTTTTTCCACAAAATTCGAAGTGACATTAAATTTTCTCTGTTTCATAATTTTTTGATAAATTCACTGCTTATCAATCAACAATCCAATGTAATCAGGAACTAGTTCAAAAGAGTCGAATTGATTTCAAAGAAACTCTGAAATTCCAGATTATTCTAGTTGCTTGCCAACGCCTCGAAACTTATTCATAATTAATTGTTGACCTTAAAAGTTCCCTCCTCAACATATTCTAAGTCAATTTCCGTCAAGAACTCTCTGTCTGTTAGACTGTCACATAGAATAACGGTTTATGGAATTAGTCTTCTTCTTCTTATTCTTTTTCCGTCCCTCTCGTATCCATTCTTCCCAATCCAATCCGTTTCCCTTCCGTTTCGTTTTCCGTGTTATCCGGTCGGCAAATCTCCGAATGGCGGACGGTGAACAACGGTAAGAAAAGAGAGAAAGAAAATCGAATATACATATCAGTATCATCTCTTCTCCTTCTTCTTTCCTTCACTTGTATGTCACTGACACATTCTCCGAATACAACAACCCAAGGAGGAATCCACAAACTAATTTTACTTCTCCTCTTCGCCCCATGTATCATGCTGTTGTTACATTTGAATGCATAATTATTTGATAATTTTTCAAGATTTCAAAAGGAATTTCAAGATTTGAGATCGTGTCTCATTTCTACGAAGTTTTTTTTGCTTCATGCACTGTCTCAAACTTCATTATTTTTCTCAAAATTTTGAAGTCAATACGAAACTATGGAAACAGCGAAAATTCAAAATTTTCCAATTTGTTTCGAATCTTTTAGTTTGAAGGGGACTCTTTCCAAACATTCTTATTGCATTAAAATGTGTAAAAACTATTCAAATTCACATAGCAACAAATAAGTTTTTGTTTAAATTGCAAAACTTCAAAAAATCGCTTCAATTAGCGAAAAATTCGAAGTTTTCATCCATTTCTGGAAAGTTCTAGAAGGTTCTGGAATTGTTTTTTAATATCTAAGACTGAAAACTCTCTGGTTTTCATTTTCGGCATTTTAGAAATGCTCTAGAATTTTTAGTTTTCATGAAAATTCAAAAAACGTTCCTGAATATTCTAGAAGTTTTCAGAAATTGACTTTTTTGAACCGTTTTTCGAGGATTTGCCATTTTTTATAATTTTATACCGGGTGCTATGATAAAACGAGAATTTCTCAAACTGATTTTCTCAGATATTTGACGATTGTGCAATGTTTTGGAAACAGCAACATTTGAAAATTGAGCATCTTCTAAACTTTTTGTCCAAATCGTGATTACCTTTTTGGAAATTGAACAATCCTTAACAAAATGTTTGAAACAGAAAAACAAATCCTTCAGAAAAATACTAAAGATTCCAGAGCGATTTTTAATTTTTGAGGTTTTTTATGTCTAAAGTTGAATTCAGTTTTTGCAATATTGTGAACCCTGTAATAGACACACTGTCAACTTTGAGTCAATTTATCTCATTTTCTGTAAAAGATAATAAAAAGCGGTCTACTGACAAAATGTTTATCATAGTATCAAAAAAATTGTGTTACTTGGCCACTTTTTAATATCTTTTACTGGAAATGAGACAAATTTAATGAAAGTTTGGGTGTATTGGAATGTTCAACTCATCCGGTGTATCGTTGGCAAACACGATTCAGTGAACTTTTGAAAATTGAATGATCTTTAAAAAAGTTTGAAACCGTAAATAAACTATTTACCAAGCAAAAAATACGATAGCGATTTTCAATTTTTGAAATTTGGGTGTTTTTCAATTATTATTTTTTTTTGTGTCTTTGTTGTCAGTATCGGTTTTACTCAAAATCAGATCTCAACATTCTTCGAAAATCTGAAATTTTGAAGGACCAGCGAAGAATTTAAATTTTTTCACAAACTTTCTAGAAAGAATAGGATCTTTTCTGATTCTTTATCAGAAAATTTATTCAAATGTTTGAGTTTCGGAAGAACAACGGATTGAATCATTGAGTTATTGAAATCGAAAAGTTTGAACAACTTTTGAAACAGAAAAACTTTCAGAACAATTTTAGACATGTATTTCTATAGATGGCAACTGTAAGAAAACGAAAATTTGATCGGGAAAATGCATTTTTTTTTCTTATTATCCGAAATGTATTTCATTCAAGTTTTGACTAGTATCGTTTTTAAATAGAGTCACTAAAACAGAAAACTTTTAGAACTACAATTTCAAGCTTCATATACCGTAAACACTCTATAGGACGCCCACCAAGCGGCCAACTTTGAGCCCACATATCTCATTTCCTATAGAAGATACAAAAACATGATCAACTAACAAAATATTTGTGTTATTATAACCAATATTTAGTCAGTTGACCACTTTTTGGTATCTTCGACAGGAAATTAGATATATGGTCTCAAAGTCAAAAGTTAGACTTTCTAGGTTTAACGGTACATAGTTTTTATTCCAGAATCCTATATTCTAACACAGTCCCTATTACACATTTTTGTCTGATTTCCCCTTGTTTTCCGTTTTTCCATCATCGTATACAGAAAAAGTTTCGGGTTGGAAAAGGGTGGAACGACGTGTGCGATGTCGGATTATCCAAAGTGCACACTCATTCTCTCTCTGCGTCTCTTCGTCTCACCCACTCTCTCGCTCATGCTCTCTGAATAAGTGACCGTTCCCTTTTTCTGGTGTGAAACCATCCCTTTCTATTTTTCAAGTTGTTCAGGAAATGGCACACGTCATTTAAGACAGTCGGACTTGAAGAGAAAAATTCCAAAATGCTATTTTTTCAGCTTTTTTATAATTCTTTCAAATGTAGACAACCTATCCAATTCCGTTTTCTTCCAGAAACTTGCGAAAGCCAATTTCGTTTTCTCCGATTGAAAGTGTTCTTCTTGTTCTGTTTTTCTTCCGTTTTCCTCTCACCGTTTACCAATTTCACTTCTCTACTTTTTCCCCTCCGTTCTACGTCTTCTTGTCATCTTTTCGTTCCGTTTTCTATGATTCTAAATCTTCTTTTCACACCTTCTTCTCATTTTCTACTAGAACATTTTTAATATGACGGGAATGTCTCCTAGATTTTCAATATTTTCAAAAAATGTCTGTTTCGACAAAGTAACATTTTTGGAACTAGTATATGGTTTTGTTCTTTCGGCATTCCTTTAGTTTGAAAAATTATTATTGTGGTCCAAAAAATTGAAACTGTGGAAGAGAAAAGCTTTTGGGAATGGTCAGAGGTCCCACAACGAAAACTACGGTAACCTAAAATTTTTCGAATTTTCAAAATAAAAACTCATTTTTTATTCAATTTTTGGGAAAATTTTTTGACCTTTTGTGGTTT